TTTTGGGATTCTATTGTAATGTCTTCTCTTGTCCTTGTCTTTCCTGTATTTTTTATTTTTTAAATGTTTTTTGGGGGGGATTTCATTAAAACATAAAGGATAAGATATATTTATAGCCCCTGTGCCCGTGCACACTTAACACCCACTTGTTGTTAAGAATTTGTCCCCTACCTAACCCTAACCCTAAACCCTAACCCCTAACCCTAACTCTAACCCCAGAGACACCGGTGCCTAAACCTAACCTCAGTGACACCGGTGCTTAAACCTAACCTTAAAGTTCTCTACCTAACCCTAAACCCTAACCCTGACCCTAAACCTAACCCTAACCTCAGAGACACCGGTGCCTAACCCTAACCTCAGAGACAGCGATGCCTAAAACTTAAGACATTACAATAGAATCCCAAAAACGGGAAGGAATTGTCTTGTCTCTCCTGTATTTTTTATTTTTGTATATGTTTTTGGGGGGATTTCATTGAAACATAAAGCATGATATATATAGCCCCTGTGCCCGTGCACACTTAACACCCACTTGGTGTGAAGAATTTGTCCCCTACCTAACAGCCTGTGCCTGGTTGGCTATTATCACAATTTGGTATTCTGATTTAAAAATGAGATCTAATTATGGGCAATAGGAATTTATAGTACATTAAAATGTGTAGTCTTCTTATAAGTCTTCCCTACCTATAGAGGGAACTTGTATCTATTTGGGGACCTTTAAGAAGCAGAAAGTTTTGGAGGGAAAAATGCCAAGGACCAATTAACAGTGATTACCACTGGAGGTCAGCCCCTCTGAAACCCTTTTTAAAGTTCCTGTTTTGCCCATTGTCTTGTTACCTCTGATGAAGCCTAGTAAGGCGAAACATCAGGCAGTGCTTTTTATATGTATATCTGGAAACAATTTTTGATGACTTTTTGTACACCCTTTTTTTAAAACAGGGGAATCAGATACTTTTAAAACCAAAAGGACTAAAAAAATCAACAAACAATTCAAGTGTAGGAGCACACCGATAACATCCACTATTGGATTCTTCCATTCTTCCTCCATCACTAAGGGTAGGCCACCCAAACATTTCAAATGTGAGTATGGAATAAAGGACCTGGGTAAGAATTTGTTTTGGACTAGGTGTGCACACTGAAGACAACAACGTGTATATATATATATATATTTGTCCACTTGTTTTTCACTAAGGAAAATACAAAATTGTTTTTGTTCCGATGGTAGTATAAAGTGGAAACTACAAAGGGAGAATTACCAAACACTTCCAGTTCCATATCTTTAATGGTGGATGTTTTTGGTTTTGTGTGGTCATTAAATGAAAATGATTACATCCTAAATCCACCAGATGGCAGTGAGAGTTCACTCCTTGAGAGTTCACCTGTAAAAGTGAGTGTTTGTTAGATTGAGTGTGGTTTCTAGTTCTCTTTCCAGTCCGGTCATTAATCATTGTGTGTTTTATGTAAACCCCCTTTTTTTTTTAACCCTACCCTATCCCACCTTTTTTTCCATGCTTGTTTTAGATAGGGATCTTTTATATGTGGTCCTCTGTAGCTCAGCTGGTAGAGCACGGCGCTTGTAACGCCAAGGTAGTGGGTTCGATCCCCGGGACCACCCATACACAAAAATGTATGCACGCATGACTGTAAGTCGCTTTGGATAAAAGCGTCTGCTAAATGGCTTATTATTATTATTTTTATTATTATATGCTTACCTTACCTGTTTACATTGATGCCAATATGTCTATCCCTCTCCACAATCGCTATGGGAGTTTGGCTCGGAATATTGACTTGGGTGAGTGCACCCCAGCCCCTACAATGAACACAAGTGAGAGACAGATTATTAATAGACCTATTAATAGAGATGTACAATTGTCAGCAAGCCGAAGACCAGATGACATATATTCACTTGTTGAGGAAATGGACATCTTGGGTTTCGAGCATTGTCGAGTAGTGACACCTACAATATTACAAGGAAATCACCAGATTCTTTAGAAAGTAAACATTTCACTGTAATGTCTGTACCTACAATGTGACCAATAAAAGTTGATTTGATTTGCAAGGGTCCCGTTCACAGCACACACTCGCTCTAACACTCTAACACGTAGCCTGGGTCGTTTTGACCCCAGCCAGGACAGGAGAGGACAACGCTAGGGGTCATACAGCCACTCGCTCTAACACATAGGCACTGACACGTAGCCTGGGTCTTTTTGACCCGGACAGGACAGCGGGAGGAGATATACAGCCACTCACTCTAACACGTAGCCTGGGTATTTTGACCCGGACAGGACAACGGGAGGGTTAATGGACTGTTATTTTAAGCTTGGGGTTGTGATTAGCGGATCAAAGTATGTAACATTTTGTCTCTGCTCTTCTAGCTTGATGTTTGTCAACATTTCCCCAGAGGCAGACCGCTTCCCGGAGACCCTGAACTCTCTGCGGTTTGCCAGCAAGGTCAGAGTGGCCTCACACTATTTAATTTTTTTAACACCACATACAATTCACTCAAGAACATGTTCATATGCTGTGCATATTTAGTTTAAATATCTGAATAACAATGGCATATTTGTAACTGTTTATTTATTCTGTTGCAGGTGAAGGATTGTGTTATTGGCACAGCATCAGCTAACGAAGTAAAAGCCCACAAGAAGTAAACCGGAAGTAAAAAGGGGGAAATGTAAATGGACTATTTTTTAAATATAATTTGCATCAATAAAGTTGTACAAACATGGTCTCTTTTTTGTTTTCTTGAGTAAGGCAGCTTCAAAATGCAGGTGTTTCAGCCTAGCTCAGTAAGGCAGCTTCAAAATGCAGGTGTTTCAGCCTAGCTCAGTAAGGCAGCTCCAACATGCAGGTGTTTCAGCCTAGCTCAGTAAGGCAGCTTCAAAATGCAGGTGTTTCAGCCTAGCTCAGTAAGGCAGCTTCAAAATGCAGGTGTTTCAGCCTAGCTCAGTAAGGCAGCTTCAAAATGCAGGTGTTTCAGCCTAGCTCAGTAAGGCAGCTCCAACATGCAGGTGTTTCAGCCTAGCTCAGTAAGGCAGCTTCAAAATGCAGGTGTTTCAGCCTAGCTCAGTAAGGCAGCTCCAACATGCAGGTGTTTCAGCCTAGCTCAGTAAGGCAGCTCCAACATGCAGGTGTTTCAGCCTAGCTCAGTAAGGCAGCTTCAAAATGCAGGTGTTTCAGCCTAGCTCAGTAAGGCAGCTCCAACATGCAGGTGTTTCAGCCTAGCTCAGTAAGGCAGCTTCAAAATGCAGGTGTTTCAGCCTAGCTCAGTAAGGCAGCTCCAACATGCAGGTGTTTCAGCCTAGCTCAGTAAGGCAGCTCCAACATGCAGGTGTTTCAGCCTAGCTCAGTAAGGCAGCTCCAACATGCAGGTGTTTCAGCCTAGCTCAGTGCTTTGTGTGGTGGGGCAGCCAGCAGAAAATACGGAGCGTAGGGGTCACTACGTTGCTGCCAATCCAGCATGACTTCTGCCGCGTTCAAAACAACTGGAAACTCAGATACAACTCGCTCCGACTGGGAAAATACGGAGCGTAGGGGTCACTACGTTGCTGCCAATCCAGCATGACTTCTGCCGCGTTCAAAACAACTGGAAACTCAGATAAAACTCGCTCCGACTGGGAAAATACGGAAAATAATTGAGCGGTCATCCAACTCTGAATTCTAAGTCGGGATTTCGGGCCTATTTCTAGAGCCCACAAGAAGGACCGCCGTGCCTACAATAAACCTACTCCTAAACTACCCGTTGAACAACAGTATCATAGACAACTTTCACACATTCAAAATCCACATGCACAAACCTCCAGTCCTATTTCACAACTCATGACCATCCATAGTACCAATATTGTCTATGCCATAACATGCACACTATGCCACAACATTTATATAGGAGAAACCGGTCACACAGTCCTGACACGCCTCAAACAGCACCTCTACACAATTAGAAAAAACATATTACAAACACACCTGGTCCAACATTTTCAAATTCACCCAACAACTTCCCTCCATATTACCGGTCTGGAGATGAAATCCACCTGGACCAGAGGCCAGAGAAAAGCGGCCGAATCCAGGTGGATTTCAAAACGTAATACTTTGGCTCCACTGGGGATGAATATCAAGGAATAAATAAAAAACATTAACACTTTTGAGTTCTCAAGACCGGGCAAAGGTGCAATAGGCCCGTGCAACCTAAAGGTTTGAAACCAGTACAAACATAAACCCTCTCTAACCCTAACCCTAACCCTAATATTCCCTTGCCCCTCACCTTAACCCTAACCCCAACCTCAGTGACACCAGTGCCTAAAACCTAACCCTAAAGTCCTCTACCTAACCTTAACCCTAACCCTAACCTCAGAGACACCGGTGCCTAAACCTAACCTCAGTGACACCGATGCCTAAAACTTAATTCCTTCCCTTCCCGTTTTGGGGATTTTTTTGTAATGTCTTGTCCTGTCCTTGTCTCTCCTGTATTTTTTATTTTTTGTATATGTTTTTTTTAGATTTCATTGAAACATAAAGCATGATATATATATAGCTCCTGTGCTCGTGCACACTTAACACCCACTTGGTGTGAAGAATTTGTCCCCTACCTAACCCTAACCCAGCAAACGCATACCTATTCACTATAGATGTGGGGAGGTGGCACTGACTGTATCAAATAACCTCTTACCTAATTTGAATAAATCCTCAATAAAAAAAGTTGTTTTAATAACTTCTGTTTTGTTTAATTGATTATGTATTTATTAATTATTAATTTCTAATTTCTGATTGGATTGCTGTGTTTTATTTTTAATTGCATGATAATTATTTTTATTTATATTTGCCAACATCAGCACTTAGAACCTTTTTGAGGTAAAAAATAGATATTTATTAATTAATTTATTCATTTATTTTGTTATGATTTTGAGGATCTAAATGTTTTGAGGATTGGTGTTGTTGGTGTCATCTCCTCCCAACTAAAAGGAAATTGTATCTAGTTTACAAACATTTCAGACATGTTAAATACCATGCACCTGGCCATGGTGGTCCAGTGGTTAGGGTATGGGGAAAGTTAGCAGTCATTTGCTGGTTCGAATCCCCCAAGGGGGGAAAAAAAGGAAAAAACCTATGTTTTGTGTGTTCCATTGAGAAAGGCACTTGGTGCCAACTATTTTATGGTACGTTGTTGATGGGAATTCAGGCCATCTAGTGACCATCAACAAACATTTCGGGGAACTACCCTTTATTCTGGTTGGATGTTTTTGAGCTTGCAGCCAGCCAGGAACCCTTGGTGTCACAGCAATACTCCCCAATCCCTTGGCTAGCACTCCTACTACCAAGTTATATAAATATAGCAATGTTTCAGTTAAAATCTTGGAAAGGATTTCACCTCTATCTTTCTCACCAACAGGAGGCGCCAGATCAGGGGGTAAGACTAGGACAGGGCAGCTCCAGGGTCAAATGACGATTGATGGGCCAAACAATGGGCAACACCCTAAAAACATCCAATCTGAGCCCTCCCAAAAAGACAGCATGCCACTGCCAGTCCAAGACCCTTGTACAACTGGTGCCTCAATACACCCACCCCAGCACCAACCCCCATCCCCAGCAACCCTACAGAAACTGTCGTATCACAAAGCCAGACCAAAATACAAGGTGGTGGATTGGAATTTTGAGGGAAACAAACCAATACTGGTGTTGGGAGACTCCAATGTGAACAGAATCCCTCCATTCCACAACCCAGACATACAAGTCGACAGCTACCCCGGGGCAACTTTTTATCATTTCACAAAGGTCCTGGAGAAAACAGCGGTTCATGTAGACACCAGTATGGTGGTTCACTCGGTGGGCATAAACACATATGGATAATGACCCATACAAAACCTCAATCAAGCAGATTGCATCAATGCACAAGGAAGCCAGAGTCCACTTTTCCCTAAACGCAATATCTACAGCCCCATCATTAAAAACACTAAAACACTCAAGGTGGGAAACACCCTTTCACACCAGACCAAAACCTTAAAGTTATTGAATGGTTACATCACTACATAATTGCCCATTTCTCTTGGAAGATACCCCATGACACATTTCACACAACAGCAGATCTGATACAACTGGACAACCCACAGCAGACCCTGATCCACTGGACAAACAACCCACAGCAGACCTGATACACTGGACCAACAACCACAGCAGACCTGATCCACTGGACCAACAACCACAACATCAACCTGATACACTGGACAACAACCACAGCAGCTGTACACTGGACACAACCCAGCAGACTGATCACTGGACAACACCACAGCAACCTGATCACGACAACAACCACAGCAACCTGATACACTGGACAACAACCACAGCAACCTGATCCACTGGAAAACAACCCAGCAGACCTATCACTGGACAACAACCACAGCAGACCTGATCACTGGACAACAACCACAGCAGACCTGATACACTGGACAACAACCACAGCAGACCTGATACCTGACAACAACCACAGCAGACCTGATCCACTGGACAACAACCACAGCACCTATACACTGGACAACAACCACAGCAGACCTGATCCTGGACAACAACCACAGCAGACCTGATCACTGGACAACAACCACAGCAGACCTGATCACTGACAACAACCACAGCAGACCTGATCACTGGACAACAACCACAGCAGACCTGATCCACTGGACACAACCACAGCAGACCTGATCACTGGACAACAACCACAGCAGACCTGATCACTGGACAACAACCACAGCAGACCTGATCCACTGGACAACAACCACAGCAGACCTGATACACTGGACAACAACCACAGCAGACCTGATACCACTGGACAACAACACAGCAGACCTGATCACTGGACAACAACCACAGCAGACCTGATCACTGGACAACACCACAGCAGACCTGATACACTGGACAACAACCACAGCAGACCTGATCACTGGACAACAACCACAGCAGACCTGATCCACTGGACAACAACCACAGCAGACCTGATACACTGGACAACAACCACAGCAGACCTGATCCACTGGACAACAACCACAGCAGACCTGATCACTGGACAACAACCACAGCAGACCTGATCCACTGGACACACCACAGCAGACCTGATACACTGGACAACAACCACAGCAGACCTGATCCACTGGACAACAACCACAGCAGACCTGATCACTGGACAACAACCACAGCAGACCTGATACACTGGACAACAACCACAGCAGACCTGATCCACTGGACAACAACCACAGCAGACCTGATACACTGGACAACAACCACAGCAGACCTGATACACTGGACAACAACCACAGCAGACCTGATCCACTGGACAACAACCACAGCAGACCTGATACACTGGACAACAACCACAGCAGACCTGATCCACTGGACAACAACCACAGCAGACCTGATCCACTGGACAACAACCACAGCAGACCTGATCCACTGGACAACAACCACAGCAGACCTGATACACTGGACAACAACCACAGCAGACCTGATCCACTGGACAACAACCACAGCAGACCTGATACACTGGACAACAACCACAGCAGACCTGATCCACTGGACAACAACCACAGCAGACCGATCACTGGACAACAACCACAGCAGACCTGATACACTGGACAACAACCACAGCAGACCTGATACACTGGACAACAACCACAGCAGACCTGATCCACTGGACAACAACCACAGCAGACCTGATACACTGGACAACAACCACAGCAGACCTGATCCACTGGACAACAACCACAGCAGACCTGATCCACTGGACAACAACCACAGCAGACCTGATACACTGGACAACACCACAGCAGACCTGATACACTGGACAACAACCACAGCAGACCTGATCCACTGGACAACAACCACAGCAGACCTGATCCACTGGACAAACCACAGCAGACCTGATACACTGGACAACAACCACAGCAGACCTGATCCACTGGACAACAACCACAGCAGACCTGATCCACTGGACAACAAAACCACAGCAGACCTGATACACTGGAAAACAACCACAGCAGACCTGATCCACTGGACAACAACCACAGCAGACCTGATCCACTGGACAACAACCACAGCAGACCTGATCCACTGGACAACAACCACAGCAGACCTGATACACTGGACAACAACCACAGCAGACCTGATCCACTGGACAACAACCACAGCAGACCTGATCCACTGGACAACAACCACAGCAGACCTGATCCACTGGACAACAACCACAGCAGACCTGATCCACTGGACAACAACCACAGCAGACCTGATCCACTGGACAACAACCACAGCAGACCTGATACACTGGACAACACCAAGCAGACCTGATCCACTGGACAACAACCACAGCAGACCTGATACCACTGGACAACAACCACAGCAGGACCTGATCCAACTGGAACAAAACAACCACAGCAGACCTGATCCACTGGAACAACAAACCACAGCAGACCTGATCCACTGGACAACAACCAAGCAGACCTGATACCACTGGACAACAACCACAGCAGACCTGATCCACTGGACAACAACCACAGCAGACCTGATACACTGGACAACAACCACAGCAGACCTGGATCCACTGGGACAACAACCACAGCAGACCTGATACACTGGACAACAACCACAGCAGACCTGATCCACTGGGACAACAAACCACAGCAGACCTGATCACTGGACAACAACCACAGCAGACCTGATCCACTGGACAACAACCACAGCAGACCTGATCCCACTGGACAACAACCACCAGCAGACCTGATCCACTGGGACAACAACCACAGCAGACCTGATCCACTGGACAACAACCACAGCAGACCCGATACACTGGACAACAACCACAGCAGACCTGATACACTGGACAACAACCACAGCAGACCTGATACACTGGACAACAACCACAGCAGACCTGATCCACTGGACAACAACCACAGCAGACCTGATACACTGGACAACAACCACAGCAGACCTGATCCACTGGACAACAACCACAGCAGACCTGATCCACTGGACAACAACCACAGCAGACCTGATACACTGGACAACAACCACAGCAGACCTGATCCACTGGACAACAACCACAGCAGACCTGATCCACTGGACAACAACCACAGCAGACCTGATACACTGGACAACCACAGCAGACCTGATACACTGGACAACAACCACAGCAGACCTGATCCACTGGACAACAACCACAGCAGACCTGATCCACTGGACAACAACCACAGCAGACCTGATACACTGGACAACAACCACAGCAGACCTGATCCACTGGACAACAACCACAGCAGACCTGATCCACTGGACAACAACCACAGCAGACCTGATCCACTGGACAACAACCACAGCAGACCTGATACACTGGACAACCACAGCAGACCTGATCCACTGGACAACAACCACAGCAGACCTGATCCACTGGACAACAACCACAGCAGACCTGATACACTGGACAACAACCACAGCAGACCTGATCCACTGGACAACAACCACAGCAGACCTGATACACTGGACAACAACCACAGCAGACCTGATCCACTGGACAACAACCACAGCAGACCTGATACACTGGACAACAACCACAGCAGACCTGATCCACTGGACAACAACCACAGCAGACCTGATCCACTGGACAACAACCACAGCAGACCTGATACACTGGACAACAACCACAGCAGACCTGATCCACTGGACAACAACCACAGCAGACCTGATCCACTGGACAACAACCACAGCAGACCTGATACACTGGACAACCACAGCAGACCTGATACACTGGACAACAACCACAGCAGACCTGATCCACTGGACAACAACCACAGCAGACCTGATCCACTGGACAACAACCACAGCAGACCTGATACACTGGACAACAACCACAGCAGACCTGATCCACTGGACAACAACCACAGCAGACCTGATCCACTGGACAACAACCACAGCAGACCTGATCCACTGGACAACAACCACAGCAGACCTGATACACTGGACAACCACAGCAGACCTGATCCACTGGACAACAACCACAGCAGACCTGATCCACTGGACAACAACCACAGCAGACCTGATACACTGGACAACAACCACAGCAGACCTGATCCACTGGACAACAACCACAGCAGACCTGATACACTGGACAACAACCACAGCAGACCTGATCCACTGGACAACAACCACAGCAGACCTGATACACTGGACAACAACCACAGCAGACCTGATCCACTGGACAACAACCACAGCAGACCTGATACACTGGACAACAACCACAGCAGACCTGATCCACTGGACAACAACCACAGCAGATCTCTTTTTTAAGAATTGGTGTTATCAGCTAAATTTATAATCGGTTCTAACCACAACTTGGAACAACCAAGCTGCACCATTTTGACTTATCCCCAACCCCCTTCCCTCTCCCCCAACCCCCTTCCCTCTCCCCCAACCCCCTTCCCTCTCCCCCAACCCCCTTCCCTCTCCCCCAACCCCCTTCCCTCTCCCCCTCCCTTCCTCCTCCAGTTCCTTCCTTAGATCCTCCAGCAGAGGGGGCAGTTCCCCCCCTCCTTATCAAACATCATCTCCTGGAGACAGGGTTGTCATTCATTCCACGTCCAATCAAGTTCGACTGGGAGGAACTTCATAGGGACACCCACAAATACCATAGACGACTTAAACTTCTCTACTATTTTGACTATCGGACAAATGATAACTACTTACCATTCACCCTTCCTTCGACCTGGGAACCTAAACTGTCCCAGGTAGACAGGAGGGTCCAGAATCTAATCAGAGTGGACCAAGACACCCTTCACAACTACCACACCCAGGCAGATAGACAGGACAACCTCACTTGTATAGAAAGACAAGCCATAAAAGAACTTATAAACAACCCTCACATAATATTGAAACCAGCAGATAAGGGATCAAAAACAGTGATCCTAGACAAACATCAATACACATATGAGGCAAACAGACAGTTATCCAACACCAAGTACTATGTACCAATAGAAGACAGCCTACAACCACAGACTCAGACTAAGCTACGCCGAATCATACAAACACTTTATGATAAACGGTACATCAATAAGAAACAACAAGACTTTCTATTTGGACCAGACACCCCACGACCCAGACTGTTTTACCTACTTTGTAAAATTCACAAAGAACCAGACTCCTGGACAATTCCCCATGAAGTTCCTCCTGGCAGGCCCTTGTATCAGACTGCAATAGTGAATCGTACAACATAGCTCAATATATTGACCATCATATCAACCCTCTCTCCACTAGACACCCCAGCTACCTCAGACACTTACCACTTCCTTGAGAAGATTAAACCCATAGTTGTTCCCTCCCAAACATACATATTCACTATAGACATTGATAGCTTATATACCAACATAAATACAGCAACAGGAATACAGACGGTCAGAAATCTACTCCATGCACACCCAGATAGGAATAGACCAGACAATGAATTACTACAATTATTAGAAATTAGCCTCACACACAACGATTTTATTTTCAATGATAGGCACTACTTACAGGTGGAGGGAACGGCTATGGGGAAGAAATTTGCCCCTGCATATGTAAACATCTACATGGCTGAATGGGAGAGAGAGGCATTGGCCAAGTGCCCACATCAAGCCACATTTTATTACAGATTTCTAGATGACATCATAGGAGCCTGGCCTCATGACATCCAACTATTCACTGAATTCATCAGCATTCTCAACAGTCATCACCCGTCCATTAAGGTTAAATACACAATAGATCCATGTGAAGTACATTTCTTGGATACTACATTCTTCTTTAATCAGATAAACCAATCCCAAAAAACATTGCTCACTAAAGTTTATTTCAAACCAACAGATACACATGCTCTACTCCATAAACACAGTTATCATCCCAAACATACATTTAAAGGCATCGTCAAATCACAAATTATACGGTTCCATAGGATATCCCCCTGTAAACAGGATCTGGAAAAAGCAATTCAAACTCTATTTCATACACTTAGACAAAGAGGCTACTCCAAATGATATCTCAGAACCATAAAAACCAGCACCTTGGCGGTTAGGTATAGGTTGAGGAATCCACAGGGTCAATCTGGAGCCTATCGGATGCTGTACAGAGACCGGGGGGTAGGGCACTCCGGGGGGTAGGGCACTCCGGGGGGTAGGGCACTCCGGGGGGAAGGGCAGTCCGGGGGGTAGGGCACTCCGGGGGGTAGGGCACTCCGGGGGGTAGGGCACTCCGGGGGGTAGGGCAGTCCGGGGGGTAGGGCACTCCGCTTGCCGAGCAGGAGCATCGAGGGGTCTGGGCACAACCAGCCCAGGAAGATGTAGTGAGAATTTGTTGTAGTGGGGACTAGTGGAATAGTCAGGGCCATGGTTGTAGTGGTTGATATAGTCAGGGGCCATGTTGTGTGGTGCTAGTGATATAGTCAGGCCATGTTGTAGTGGTGGCTAGTGATATAGTCAGGGCCATGTTGGAGTGGTGACTAGTGATATAGTCAGGGCCATGTTGTAGTGGTGACTAGTGATATAGTCAGGGCCATGTTGTAGTGGTGGCTAGTGATATAGTCCTGGCCCATGTTGTGACTAGTGGGATATAGTCCAGGCCATGTTGTAGTGGTGGGCCTAGTGATATAGTCAGGGCCATGTTTGTAGTGGTGGGCTAGTGATATAGTCAAGGGCCATGTTGTAGTGGTGACTAGTGATATAGTCCAGGGCCATGTTGATAGTGGTGGACTAGTGATATAGTCAGGGCCATTGTGTAGTGGTGACTAGTGATATAGTCAGGGCCATGTTGTAGTGGTGGTAGTGATTAGTCAGGGCCATGTTTGTAGTGGTGGCTAGTGATATAGTCAGGGCCATGTTGTAGTGGTGGCTAGTGATATAGTCAGGGCCATGTTGTAGTGGTGGCTAGTGATATAGTCAGGGCCATGTTGTAGTGGTGGCTAGTGATATAGTCAGGGCCATGTTGTAGTGGTGATATAGTCAGGGCCATGTTGTAGTGGTGGCTAGGATATAGTCAGGGCCATGTTGTAGTGGTGCTAGTGATATAGTCAGGGCCATGTTGTAGTGGTGGCTAGTGATATAGTCCAGGGCCATGTTGTAGTGGTGGCTAGTGATATAGTCAGGGCCATGTTGTAGTGGTGACTAGTGATATAGTCAGGGCCATGTTGTAGTGGTGGCTAGTGATATAGTCAGGGCCATTGTTGTGACTAGTGATATAGTCAGGGCCATGTTGTAGTGGTGGCTAGTGATATAGTCAGGGCCATGTTGTAGTGGTGGCTAGTGATATAGTCAGGGCCATGTTGTAGTGGTGGCTAGTGATATAGTCAGGGCCATGTTGTAGTGGTGACTAGTGATATAGTCAGGGCCATGTTGTAGTGGTGGCTAGTGATATAGTCAGGCCATGTTGTAGTGGTGGCTAGTGATATAGTCAGGGCCATGTTGTTGGTGACTAGTGATATAGTCAGGGCCATGTTGTAGTGGTGGCTAGTGATATAGTCAGGGCCATGTTGTAGTGGTGACTAGTGATATAGTCAGGGCCATGTTGTAGTGGTGACTAGTGATATAGTCAGGGCCATGTTGTAGTGGTGGCTAGTGATATAGTCAGGGCCATGTTGTAGTGGTGACTAGTGATATAGTCAGGGCCATGTTGTAGTGGTGGCTAGTGATATAGTCAGGGCCATGTTGTAGTGGTGATATAGTCAGGGCCATGTTGTAGTGGTGGCTAGTGATATAGTCAGGGCCATGTTGTAGTGGTGACTAGTGATATAGTCAGGGCCATGTTGTAGTGGTGGCTAGTGATATAGTCAGGGCCATGTTGTAGTGGTGGCTAGTGATATAGTCAGGGCCATGTTGTAGTGGTGGCTAGTGATATAGTCAGGGCCATTGTTGTGACTAGTGATATAGTCAGGGCCATGTTGTAGTGGTGGCTAGTGATATAGTCCAGGGCTGTTGTAGGGTGCAGTGAATAGTCAGGGCCATGTTGTAGTGGTGGCTAGTGATATAGTCAGGGCCATGTGTATGTGCTAGTGATATAGTCAGGCCAGTTGTAGTGTGCATATAGTCAGGGCCATGTTGTAGTGGTGGCTAGTGATATAGTCAGGGCCATTTGTGGTTGATATTCAGGCCATGTTGTAGGTGGCTAGTGATATAGTCAGGGCCATGTTGTAGTGGTGACTAGTGATATAGTCAGGGCCATGTTGTATGGTGACTAGTGATATAGTCAGGGCCATGTTGTAGTGGTGGCTAGTGATATAGTCAGGGCCATGTTGTAGTGGTGCTAGTGATATAGTCAGGGCCATGTTGTAGTGCTAGTGATATAGTCAGGGCCATGTTGTAGTGGTGGCTAGTGATATAGTCAGGGCCATGTTGTAGTGGTGACTAGTGATATAGTCAGGGCCATGTTGTAGTGGTGACTAGTGATATAGTCAGGGCCATGTTGTAGTGGTGGCTAGTGATATAGTCAGGGCCATGTTTGTAGTGGTGGATGTGACTATAGTCAGGGCCATGTTGTAGTGGTGCTAGTGATATAGTCAGGGCCATGTTGTAGTGGGGTAGTGATATAGTCAGGCCATGTTGTAGTGGTGGATATAGTCAGGGCCATGTTGTAGTGGTGACTAGTGATATAGTCAGGGCCATGTTGTAGTGGTGGACTAGTGATATAGTCAGGGCCATGTTGTAGTGGTGGCTAGTGATATAGTCAGGGCCATGTTGTAGTGGTGCATATATAGTCAGGGCCATGTTGTAGTGGTGACTAGTGATATAGTCAGGGCCATGTTGTAGTGGTGCTAGTGATATAGTCAGGGCCATGTTGTAGTAGTGTTGTCGGCCATTTAGTGTTGCTAGTGATATAGTCAGGGCCATGTTGTAGTGGTGACTAGTGATATAGTCAGGGCCATGTTGTAGTGGTGGCTAGTGATATAGTCAGGGCCATGTTGTAGTGGTGGCTAGTGATATAGTCAGGGCCATGTTGTAGTGGTGACTAGTGATATAGTCAGGGCCATGTTGTAGTGGTGACTAGTGATATAGTCAGGGCCATGTTGTAGTGGTGGCTAGTGATATAGTCAGGGCCATGTTTAGTGGTGACTAGTGATATAGTCAGGGCCATGTTGTAGTGGTGACTAGTGATATAGTCAGGGCCATGTTGTAGTGTGACTAGTGATATAGTCAGGGCCATGTTGTAGTGGTGGCTAGTGATATAGTCAGGGCCCATGTTGTAGTGGTGACTAGTGATATAGTCAGGGCCATGTTGTAGTGGTGCTAGTGATATAGTCAGGGCCATGTTGTAGTGGTGGCTAGTGATATAGTCAGGGCCATGTTGTAGTGGTGGCTAGTGATATAGTCAGGGGCCATGTTGTAGTGGTGGCTAGTGATATAGTCAGGGCCATGTTGTAGTGGTGGTACAGTGATGATTAGTCAGGGCCATGTTGTAGTGGTGATATACCATGTGATTATAGTCAGGGCCATGTTGTAGTGGTGGCTAGTGATATAGTCAGGGCCATGTTGTAGTGGTGGCTAGTGATATAGTCAGGGCCATGTTGTAGTGGTGACTAGTGATATAGTCAGGGCCATGTTGTAGTGGTGATATAGTCAGGGCCATGTTGTAGTGGTGGCTAGTGATATAGTCAGGGCCATGTTGTAGTGGTGGCTAGTGATATAGTCCAGGGCCATGTTGTAGTGGTGCTAGTGATATAGTCAGGGCCATGTGTGTAGTTGGTGGATGTGATATAGTCAGGGCCATGTTGTAGTGGGGTAGTGATATAGTCAGGGCCATGTTGTAGTGGTGCTAGTGATATAGTCAGGGCCATGTTGTAGTGGTGCTAGTGATATAGTCAGGGCCATTGTTTGGTGTAGACTAGTGTGATATAGTCAGGGCCATGTTGTAGTGGTGCTAGTGATATAGTCAGGGCCATGTTGTAGTGGTGACTAGTGATATAGTCAGGGCCATGTTGTAGTGGTGGCTAGTGATATAGTCAGGGCCATGTTGTAGTGGTGGCTAGTGATATAGTCAGGGCCATGTTGTAGTGGTGGCTAGTGATAGTCAGGTCAGGGCTCTGTTGTAGGATTTAGTGGTGGCTAGTGATATAGTCAGGGCCATGTTGTAGTGTGCTAGTGATATAGTCAGGGCCATGTTGTAGTGGTGACTAGTGATATAGTCAGGGCCATGTTGTAGTGGTGCTAGTGATATAGTCAGGGCCATGTTGTAGTGGTGACTAGTGATATAGTCAGGGCCATGTTGTAGTGGTGGCTAGTGATATAGGTCAGGGCCATGTTGTAGTGGTGATTGATATAGTCAGGGCCATGTTGTGGTATGATGTGGGCTGTGTAGTGGATATAGTCAGGGCCATGTTGTAGTGGTGACTAGTGATATAGTCAGGGCCATGTTGTAGTGGTGTAGTGATATAGTCAGGGCCATGTTGTAGTGGTGCTAGTGATATAGTCAGGGCCATGTTGTAGTGGTGACTAGTGATATAGTCAGGGCCATGTTGTAGTGGTGAGTATAGTCAGGCCATGTTGTAGTGGTGGCTAGTGATATAGTCAGGGCCATGTTGTAGTGGTGACTAGTGATATAGTCAGGGCCATGTTGTAGTGGTGCTAGTGATATAGTCAGGGCCATGTTGTAGTGGTGCTAGTGATATAGTCAGGGCCATGTTGTAGTGGTGACTAGTGATATAGTCAGGGCCATGTTGTAGTGGTGACTAGTGATATAGTCAGGGCCATGTTGTAGTGGTGCTAGTGATATAGTCAGGGCCATGTTGTAGTGGTGCTAGTGATATAGTCAGGGCCATGTTGTAGTGGTGCTAGTGATATAGTCAGGGCCATGTTGTAGTGTGGCTATGATATAGTCAGGGCCATGTTGTAGTGGTGACTAGTGATATAGTCAGGCCATGTTGTAGTGTGACTAGTGATATAGTCAGGGCCATGTTGTAGTGGTGCTAGTGATATAGTCAGGGCCATGTTGTAGTGGTGCTGTGATATAGTCAGGGCCATGTTGTAGTGGTGCTAGTGATATAGTCAGGGCCATGTTGTAGTGGTGACTAGTGATATGTCCAGGGCCATGTTGTAGTGGTGCTAGTGATATAGTCAGGGCCATGTTGTATGTGCAGTGATATAGTCAGGGCCATGTTGTAGTGGTGACTAGTGATATAGTCAGGCCATGTTGTAGTGGTGACTAGTGATATAGTCAGGCCATGTTGTAGTGGTGCTAGTGATATAGTCAGGGCCATGTTGTAGTGGTGCTAGTGATTTGTCAGGGCCATGTTGTAGTGGTGACTAGTGATATAGTCAGGGCCATGTTGTAGTGGTTGATATAGTCAGGGCCATGTTTAGTGGTGACTATGATATATCAGGGCCATGTTGTAGTGGTCTAGTGATATAGTCAGGCCATGTTGTAGTGGGCAGTGATATAGTCAGGGCCATTTTGTAGTGGTGACTAGTGATATAGTCAGGGCCATGTTGTAGTGGTGACTAGTGATATAGTCAGGGCCATGTTGTAGTGGTGGCTAGTGATATAGTCAGGGTTCATTGTTGACCCTTCGTTGCCCACTTTGATCACACCCACAAAACATAAGTCTGTCAATCACTCTTTCTGACCACAACTTTCATTAGAGGTTCTGGAGGCACTGCCAAATACCCCCCTTCCCCTGACCTTAACCCTGACCCTAACCTTAACCCTTACCCTAACCCGGGTTCGTATCCTGTTCCCACCCCTAACCCTACTCCTAACCCTAACCTTAACCCTTACCCTAACCCGGGTTCGTATCCTGTTCCCACCCCTAACCCTACTCCTAACCCTAACCCTGACTCTCTGCCTCTGACCCTATTACGGGGGCTGAGTCACTGGCTTACTAGTGCTCTTCCATGCCGTCCCTAGGAAGGGTGCGTCACTTGAGTGTGTTGAGTCACAGACGTGATCTTCCTGTCCGGTTTTGCGTCCCCTCGGGCTCGTGCGGTGGAGGAGATCTTGGTGGGCTATACTCAGCCTTGTCTCAGGGTAGTAGGTTGGTGGTCTGTTGATATCCCTCTGGTGGTGTGGGGGCTGTGCTTTGGCAAAGTGGGTGGGGTTATATCCTGCCTGGTTGGCCCTGTCCGGGGGTATCGTCGGACAGGGCCACAGTGTCCCCCGATTTCCCCCCTGCAGATGGAAACAGCCTGATAAGCGTTGCATGGATTGCCAGATAGCCTCGCTGTTAATCTCAATCTTTTCAAGTGAAGGGGGAAATGCAGTTTAAATCTTTTGTTTAATCTAATTCATCTAGTTAAGACTGTCACTTATATTTAAGGCTGAGGTTAATAAGAGTGGTGTTGTCAAGGCCACCCAGATGAGCAGCACTGGACACAGCTTTTTGTCACAACTAATTAATCTGGTTCAGTCTGGTCCAGGCATCACCTGATTCTGAACAGCTAGGAGGTTTAGACTTCAGTTTAATCATGATTTATCTGTTACACCGGACAAATCACTTTATAAATGTTAATGTGGTTTGACTGTTTTGAGTGCAAAGCAAGAAGATAATGAATATTTAGGAGATGTTCAGAGAATGAACAATGATGCAGATTGCCTGGGTCCCCTGTAGCTCAGTTGGTAGAGCATGGCGCTTGCAACGCCAGGGTTGTGGGTTCGTTTCCCACGGGGGGTCAGTATGAAGAATGTATGCACTCACTAACTGTAAGTCGCTCTGGATAAGAGCGTCTGCTAAATGACTAAAATGTATCCACAGGGTGTGTAGTTCCAGCGCTAACACATTACCTCCTCTAATCATCAAGCACTTGATTAGCTAGTGGAATTACTAAGGTGTTAGAAACAAAGTGCATTCTCACATGTTTTGTCCAATGTTTTGTGCTCTCTGATTAAAATGTGTGTTAAGGCAGATGCATGTATCATCATAGGAATTAAAATACGCTATAGCTTTAAAGGATTAGTCTTCTCCCGCTTGCACAAAGGACAAAGTACAGTGGGAGGAGTTTCTTCTGTGCCACTGGTGTGCTGCATTGCCTTAGTCACATCACATGATTTGCACGTGATTCTGTTGTCGTCTTGAAAGGAAAGTGAGTATTTACTGTACCATTTGATTTCAATGTAGCTACAATATTGTAAAAACACATGCTTCAAACTGTATTTGTACAATTCATGACAATCAGGAGTAACTTGTGAACTTTGACCCACTCTATAATCATACAGCACTGTCTGTTGAGAAATGCAGAATGAGAACTGTGACAAGGCAGGCCGTTTGCCAATCAGACAGTAGCTACAGCTGAATAAACTCATAAGCTCACTATGTTCCTGAACTAGTACTGCTTATATTGACATGAACTGACTTTATATAAATACATATAATGTGTCATTCTCATCTGTGAAAGGAGAGTAAGTTGTGATTGTTTTGACAGACCATTTAGCCATGTCCTGTTCTATGAGAAGTCTGGTGGAGGATGATGACAGATACCTGAAGTCCTTCCAGCTGTTCCTGGAGCGCTCCTCTGAACACCAGTGCATGCAGGACTTTATCCATGGCATCCTGCCTGACATACTAGCCAGGTAACAGTTCTGACATACTAGCCAGTTAAAAATTCTGACATACTAATCAGGTAACAGTTCTGACATACTAGCCAGGTAACAGTTCTGACATACTAGCCAGGTAACAGTTCTGACATAGTAGCCAGGTAACAGTTCTGACATACTAGCCAGGTAACAGTTCTGACATACTAGCCAGGTAACAGTTCTGACATACTAGCCAGGTAACAGTTCTGACATACTAGCCAGTTAACAGTTCTGACATACTAGCCAGTTAACAGTTCTGACATACTAATCAGGTAACAGTTCTGACATACTAGCCAATTAACATTTCTGACATACTAGCCAGGTAACAGTTCTGACATACTAGCCAGGTAACAGTTCTGACATACTAGCCAGGTAACAGTTCTGACATACTAGCCAGGTAACAGTTCTGACATAATAGCCAGGTAACAGTTCTGACATACTAGCCAGTTAACAGTTCTGACATACTAGCCAGGTAACAGTTCTGACATACTAGCCAGGTAACAGTTCTGACATACTAGCCAGTTAACAGTTCTGACATACTAGCCAGTTAACAGTTCTGACATACTAATCAGGTAACAGTTCTGACATACTAGCCAATTAACATTTCTGACATACTAATCAGGTAACAGTTCTGACATACTAGCCAGGTAATATTTCTGACATACTAGCCAGGTAATATTTCTGACATACTAGCCAGGTAACAGTTCTGACATACTAGCCAGGTAACAGTTCTGACATACTAATCAGGTAACAGTTGTGACATATAAGCCAGGTAACAGTTCTGACATACTAATCAAGTAACAGTTCTGACATACTAGCCAGGTAACAGTTCTGACATACTAGCCAGGTAACAGTTCTGACAAACTAGCCAGGTAACAGTTCTGACAAACTAGCCAGGTAACAGTTCTGACATACTAGCCAGGTAACAGTTCTGACATACTAGCCAGGTAACAGTTCTGACATACTAGCCAGGTAACAGTTCTGACATACTAGCCAGGTAACAGTTCTGACATACTAGCCAGGTAACAGTTCTGACATACTAAGTAACAGTTCTGACATACTAGCCAGACAACAGTTCTGAAATACTAGCCAGGTAAACAATACTAGCTAGATAACAGTTCTGACATACTAATCAGGTAACAGTTCTGACATACTAGCCAGGTAACAGTTCTGACATACTAGCCAGGTAACAGTTCTGACATACTAGCCAGGTAACAGTTCTGACATACTAGCCAGGTAAACAATACTAGCTAGATAACAGTTCTGACATACTAGCCAGACAACAGTTCTGAAATACTAGCCAGGTAAACAATACTAGCTAGATAACAGTTCTGACATACTAATCAAGTAACAGTTCTGACATACTAGCCAGGTAACAGTTCTGACATAATAGCCAGGTAACAGTTCTGACAAACTAGCCAGGTAACAGTTCTGACATACTAGCCAGGTAACAGTTCTGACATACTAGCCAGGTAAAGTTCTGACATACTAGCCAGGTAACAGTTCTGACATACTAGCCAGGTAACAGTTCTGACATATTAGCCAGGTACAGTTCTGACATACTAGCCATTAACAGTTCTGACATACTAGCCAGTTAACAGTTCTGACATACTAATCAGGTAACAGTTCTGACATACTAGCCAATTAACATTTCTGACATACTAGCCAGGTAACAGTTCTGACATACTAGCCAGGTAACAGTTCTGACATACAGCCAGGTAACAGTTCTGACATACCTAGCCAGGTAACAGTTCTGACATACTAGCCAGTTAACAGTTCTGACATACTAGCCAGGTAACAGTTCTGACATACTAGCCAGGTAACAGTTCTGACATACTAGCCAGTTAACAGTTCTGACATACTAGCCAGTTAACAGTTCTGACATACTAATCAGGTAACAGTTCTGACATACTAGCCAATTAACATTTCTGACATACTAATCAGGTAACAGTTCTGACATACTAGCCAGGTAATATTTCTGACATACTAGCCAGGTAATATTTCTGACATACTAGCCAGGTAACAGTTTCTGACATACTAGCCAGGTAACAGTTCTGACATACTAATCAGGTAACAGTTGTGACATATAAGCCAGGTAACAGTTCTGACATACTAATCAAGTAACAGTTCTGACATACTAGCCAGGTAACAGTTCTGACATACTAGCCAGGTAACAGTTCTGACAAACTAGCCAGGTAACAGTTCTGACAAACTAGCCAGGTAACAGTTCTGACATACTAGCCAGGTAACAGTTCTGACATACTAGCCAGGTAACAGTTCTGACATACTAGCCAGGTAACAGTTCTGACATACTAGCCAGGTAACAGTTCTGACATACTAGCCAGGTAACAGTTCTGACATACTAAGTAACAGTTCTGACATACTAGCCAGACAAACAGTTCTGAAATACTAGCCAGGTAAACAATACTAGCTAGATAACAGTTCTGACATACTAATCAGGTAACAGTTCTGACATACTAGCCAGGTAACAGTTCTGACATACTAGCCAGGTAACAGTTCTGACATACTAGCCAGGTAACAGTTCTGACATACTAGCCAGGTAAACAATACTAGCTAGATAACAGTTCTGACATACTAGCCAGACAACAGTTCTGAAATACTAGCCAGGTAAACAATACTAGCTAGATAACAGTTCTGACATACTAATCAAGTAACAGTTCTGACATACTAGCCAGGTAACAGTTCTGACATAATAGCCAGGTAACAGTTCTGACAAACTAGCCAGGTAACAGTTCTGACATACTAGCCAGGTAACAGTTCTGACATACTAGCCAGGTAACAGTTCTGACATACTAGCCAGGTAACAGTTCTGACATACTAGCCAGGTAACAGTTCTGACATATTAGCCAGGTAACAGTTCTGACATACTAGCCAGGTAACAGTTCTGACATACTAAGTAACAGTTCTGACATACTAGCCAGGTAACAGTTCTGACATACTAGCCAGGTAACAGTTCTGACATACAAGCCAGGTAACAGTTCTGACATACAAGCCAGGTAACAGTTCTGACATACTAGCCAGTTAACAGTTCTGACATACTAATCAGGTAACAGTTCTGACATACTAGCCAATTAACATTTCTGACATACTAATCAGGTAACAGTTCTGACATACTAGCCAGGTAATATTTCTGACATACTAGCCAGGTAATATTTCTGACATACTAGCCAGGTAACAGTTCTGACATACTAGCCAGGTAACAGTTCTGACATACTAATCAGGTAACAGTTCTGACATACTAATCAGGTAACAGTTCTGACATATAGCCAGGTAACAGTTCTGACATACTATCAGGTAACAGTTCTGACATACTAGCCAGGTAACAGTTCTGACATACTAGCCAGGTAACAGTTCTGACAATACTAGCCAGGTAACAGTTCTGACAACTAGCCAGGTAACAGTTACTAGAGACATACTACGAGTAACAGTTCTGACATACTAGCCAGGTAACAGTTCTGACATACTACAGGTAACAGTTCTGACATACTAGCCAGGTAACAGTTCTGACATACTAGCCAGGTAACAGTTCTGACATACTAGCCAGTAACAGTTCTGACACATACAACTACAGGTACAGTTCTGACACTACTAGCCAGTGTAACAGTTCTGACATACTAAGCAGGTAACAGTTCTGACATACTAGCCAGTTAACAGTTCTGACATACTAGCCAGGTAACAGTTCTGACATACTACCAGGTAACAGTTCTGACATACTAGCCAGGTATAATTTCTGACATACTAAGTCAGGTAACAGTTCTGACATACTAGCCAGGTAATATTTCTGACATACTAGACCCGGTAACATTTCTGACATACTAGCCAGGGTAACAGTTCTGACATACTAGCCAGGTAACAGTTCTGACATACTAACTCAGGTAACAGTTCTGACATACTAAGCAGGTAACAGTTCTGACATACTAATCAGGTAACAGTTCTGACATACTAGCCAGGTAACAGTTCTGACATACTAGCAGGTAACAGTTCTGACATACTAGCCAGTAACAGTTCTGACATACAAGCCAGGTAACAGTTCTGACATACTAGCCAGTTAAACAGTTCTGACATACTAGCCAGTAACAGTTCTGACATACAATGCCAGGTAACAGTTTCTGACATACTAGCCAGGTAAATTTCTGACATACTAGCCAGGTAACAGTTCTGACATACTAGCCAGGTAACAGTTCTGACATACATAGCAGGTAACAGTTCTGACATACTAGCCAGGTAACAGTTCTGACATACTAGCCAGGTAACAGTTCTGACATACTAGCCAGTAACAGTTCGACATACTAATCAGTAACAGTTCTGACATATAAGCCAGTAACAGTCTCATCAGCAGTAAATTCTGACATACTAACAGTAACAGTTCTGACATACTAGCCAGGTAACAGTTCTGACATACTACAGGTAACAGTTCTGACATACTAGCCAGGTTAACAGTTCTGACATACTACCAGGTAACAGTTCTGACATACTAGCCAGGTAACAGTTCTGACATACTAGCCAGGTAACATTCTGACATACTAACCAGGTAACAGTTCTGACATTACTAGCCAGTAACAGTTCTGACATACTAATCAGGTAACAGTTCTGACATATAGCCAGGTAACAGTTCTGACATACTAGCCAGTAACAGTTCTGACATACTAGCCAGGTAACAGTTCTGACATACTAGCCAGGTAACAGTTCTGACATACTAGCAGGTAAACAGTTCTGACAATAGCCAGTAACAGTTCTGACATTCTAGCCAGGTAACAGTTCTGACATACTAAGTAACAGTTCTGACATACTAGCCAGACAACAGTTCTGAAATACTAGCCAGGTAAACAATACTAGCCAGACAACAGTTCTGAAAAACTAGCCAGGTAAACAATACTAGCTAGATAACAGTTCTGACATACAAGCCAGGTAACAGTTCTGACATACTAGCCAGTTAACAGTTCTGACATACTAGCCAGTTAACAGTTCTGACATACTAATCAGGTAACAGTTCTGACATACTAGCCAATTAAAATTTCTGACATACTAATCAGGTAACAGTTCTGACATACTAGCCAGGTAATATTTCTGACATACTAGCCAGGTAATATTTCTGACATACTAGCCAGGTAACAGTTCTGACATACTAGCCAGGTAACAGTTCTGACATACTAATCAGGTAACAGTTCTGACATATAAGCCAGGTAACAGTTCTGACATACTAATCAAGTAACAGTTCTGACATACTAGCCAGGTAACAGTTCTGACATACTAGCCAGGTAACAGTTCTGACATACTAGCCAGGTAACAGTTCTGACAAACTAGCCAGGTAACAGTTCTGACAAACTAGCCAGGTAACAGTTCTGACAAACTAGCCAGGTAACAGTTCTGACAAACTAGCCAGGTAACAGTTCTGACAAACTAGCCAGGTAACAGTTCTGACATACTAGCCAGGTAACAGTTCTGACATACTAGCCATGTAACAGTTCTGACATACTAGCCAGGTAACAGTTCTGACATACTAGCCAGGTAACAGTTCTGACATACTAGCCAGGTAAACAATACTAGCTAGATAACAGTTCTGACATACTAATCAGGTAACAGTTCTGACATATAAGCCAGGTAACAGTTCTGACATACTAATCAAGTAACAGTTCTGACATACTAGCCAGGTAACAGTTCTGACATACTAGCCAGGTAACTGTTCTGACATACTAGCCAGGTAACAGTTCTGACATACTATCCAGGTAACAGTTCTGACATACTAGCCAGGTAACAGTTCTGACATACTAGCCAGGTAAACAATACTAGCTAGATAACAGTTCTGACATACTAATCAGGTAACAGTTCTGATTTACTAATCAGGTAACAGTTCTGACATTCTAGCCAGGTAACAGTTCTGACATACTAAGTAACAGTTCTGACATACTAGCCAGACAACAGTTCTGAAATACTAGCCAGGTAAACAATACTAGCCAGACAACAGTTCTGAAAAACTAGCCAGGTAAACAATACTAGCTAGATAACAGTTCTGACATACAAGCCAGGTAACAGTTCTGACATACTAGCCAGTTAACAGTTCTGACATACTAGCCAGTTAACAGTTCTGACATACTAATCAGGTAACAGTTCTGACATACTAGCCAATTAACAGTTCTGACATACTAGCCAGGTAATATTTCTGACATACTAGCCAGGTAATATTTCTGACATACTAGCCAGGTAACAGTTCTGACAAACTAGCCAGGTAACAGTTCTGACAAACTAGCCAGGTAACAGTTCTGACAAACTAGCCAGGTAACAGTTCTAACAAACTAGCCAGGTAACAGTTCTGACATACTAGCCAGGTAACAGTTCTGACATACTAGCCAGGTAACAGTTCTGACATACTAGCCAGGTAACAGTTCTGACATACTAGCCAGGTAACAGTTCTAACATACTAACCAGGTAACAGTTCTGACATACTAGCCAGGTAACAGTTCTGACATACTAACCAGGTAACAGTTCTGACATACTAACCAGGTAACAGTTCTGACATACTAGCCCAAGTATGGCTACAATTCCCAGGATACTTAACCCCATGTTAGACAGAACATCTCAAGGGCATTTCTTAGGATGTAATTAAGTCTGTTTCTTCCCCAGCATTGGAGAGGGAAAAGCCAATCTTAATATGATGGGAGTTGGAAGTGGAGCAGGTGAGAAAGAACCATGGTGTCACAAAGGATTAAACTATCATAGATAAACATTTGTTGAGCAAATTCAAATATTTACTCTTTGTTTAACCCTTTACACTGGTACGGGTTGAAAATGGCTGATTTGTGCACTGATAAAAGCCTAAATTGGAACGCAGTGGCTTTACAGTAACATGCTATACATTTTACATTTTAGTTATTTAGCAGACACTCTTATGCAGAACGACTTAGAGTAGCAATCACAATTAAGTGCCTTGCTCAAGGGCACATCGACAGATGTTTCACCTAGTCGGCTCAGGGATTCAAACCAGTGACCTTTCGGTTACTGGCCCAATGCTCTTAACCGCTAGGCTACCTAAATGACATCAGAGCTCTGTCTCTGCGTTTCACACCGCTGTATGGGTTTTGACTGACAGTCGTTCTGAACTTGAGTCTGAGTGAGGGAAATGCTGTAAATTAAAAGGACTCTATGTATTTTCAAAGATGAGACATTGATCCAATTTGTAAGTCGCTCTGGATAAGAGCGTCTGCTAAATGACGTAAATGTAAATGTAATTGAGGATTATAATAAATACCGCTTTGATGTCATACAAGCAAGCCAAACACCCGTAAGTCCAAATGTGAACTTCACATTTGCATATCATAAACCTCAAGTGGTATACAGTGTCAATGTTTATGATCACTATCTTGATGTACAGTTCCAAGATGACGTCATACCATGGGTTGTTCTGAACAGAATGAGCCCATGTTTGTTTATTGTGAACAAAATTTGCCGCTGAAAACGAACCTGAATGCACTCAATTCCTTTCTATACGCATCAAAATTATGATCTGTTTCCCTGAATTGCATTGTGAAAGCCTAACACTGTAATATTGTATTTTAGAACTTAGCTTGTCATGCTGGCAATAGAACTGTTTTTGGATTGCGTAAACAACAACAACAATTGTGTGATGGTGGAGATGCAGAGTTGTGTTCCAAACATAACAATTACAAGTGTGCTTGCTTTAGTTCCTCAATGGCACAGCTAGGAGAGCTAAAAAAAACCACCTTTTAGTTGAATCCTCTTCTTTGAGTTATAAAGGTACATTGAAATTACTTAGGAACTGTGCACACTTTGGAGAGGTGTGGCCACCTGGAGACACCAGTTAGTCCTCTCACTCAAACCCACAGTCTGGAGAGGTGTGGTCACCTGGAGACACCAGTTAGTCCTCTCACTCAAACCCACAGTCTGGAGAGGTGTGGTCACCTGGAGACACCAGTTAGTCCTCTCACTCAAACCCACAGTCTGGAGAGGTGTGGTCACCTGGAGACACCAGTTAGTCCTCTCACTCAAACCCAGAGTCTGGAGAGGTGTGGTCACCTGGAGACACCAGTTAGTCCTCTCACTCAAACCCACAGTCTGGAGAGGTGTGGTCACCTGGAGACACCAGTTAGTCCTCTCACTCAAACCCACAGTCTGGAGAGGTGTGGTCACCTGGAGACACCAGTTAGTCCTCTCACTCAAACCCACAGTCTGGAGAGGTGTGGTCACCTGGAGACACCAGTTAGTCCTCTCACTCAAACCCACAGTCTGGAGAGGTGTGGTCACCTGGAGACACCAGTTAGTCCTCTCACTCAAACCCAGAGTCTGGAGAGGTGTGGTCACCTGGAGACACCAGTTAGTCCTCTCACTCAAACCCACAGTCTGGAGAGGTGTGGCCACCTGGAGACACCAGTTAGTCCTCTCACTCAAACCCAGAGTCTGGAGAGGTGTGGTCACCTGGAGACACCAGTTAGTCCTCTCACTCAAACCCACAGTCTGGAGAGGTGTGGTCACCTGGAGACACCAGTTAGTCCTCTCACTCAAACCCACAGTCTGGAGAGGTGTGGTCACCTGGAGACACCAGTTAGTCCTCTCACTCAAACCCATGTCATTGTTTTGTCATATGTTGCACCTACCCCACATTTTCCAGCAGTATTCTTATCATGTTCCTGAATGTATCAACAAATGCGGAAAAAAGGACAGTAAATGTAAAATGCACATAAAATCAACAGCGTAATGTTTGGATTCAGTTTTGTGTCAGGTGAATTGTTGTGTCCTCACCTTTGGTCTAATAATTTCCCCATAATCTCCAAACTGTTTCCTTTCAATTGCTACCATGGTTATGCTTTTCAGATTTCTTCTGTAAGAAACATTTAAATGTAGCCCTATCCATATAGGCCAATTCCCACGAGTGTAAAGGGTTAACAATGTTGATAACAAGAGGAGTAATTAGCCTGTGATATTATTGGTATTACATCCACTGTTCGGCTAATCATAACTGATGACAAATGATCATTGATATCCATGATTTACACAATGAACCTGACTTATTGGGTAGCTGTCCTGTGGATCTTACGCTTTCTGTTTGAAAGACATACACCTTTTGATTTTTACTTCATACCTGATTATGATCACATACATTTTTTGATTGTTGCACTGTTGAACACTTGTAATCATTCTCCATCTTGTAGACCGCTATCCAGCTGTCAGATACTCATTCACCTTTCCATTACTCTTCTATCATTTTTCAATCCAATCAATGAAACTATCAGAGGACTTTGATTACTCTGAATCTGTATCTAGTAGAAAATCCCCTCTTCCAGCTCTCGTTCCAGCTCTTCACAGGGTTTCTCTTCCTATATTAGGATAGAATAGGATTCACTTTAATATCCCCAAACACACAGTACTCCTGTATACAAAAATAGACACTGGTCATTACCAGTGGCGGTTCCTGAAAGAATTCTCAGGGGGGGGGCAATTTTTCTGATGATTTAGGTGACCTACACACATTTAAAAAAAGATATGTCCAGCAACAACATGAAGACAGGGGCAGCATATATGTCAATACCAGAAGCATTTATTGACTGATCTCAAAAGTGTTGGCTTACCAGGGTTGGTGGAGCCCTCAGTTTCATCTTTGCCTCGCAAAGCTAACTCAAACACTCCGCAAAACTTCACACACTGGATTAGCCGGCTGAGGATGTGGCGGTTCTTGCTAACCTCATCGTTGTGGCGGCGGACAGCTAGCCTGTATCCCTCATCCAGTTGAGTGGCAATGTTCACTCTCCCCAAAGCAGACAATCTCAAACAGCTATCCATGTGGGTCTTTGACAGCTCATGTTTCTTAATCTTTTCTGAAAGATGGTGCATGTCCGTTACACCAGTCGCTGTCCAAGCGGTGCTGTCTGCCGTGCCGCCTTCAGGGTGAAAGAGTAAGCAAGTGTAGCAGAAGACTGCATTAGCTACATCGCAGCCTGCTAGCCAGGTTTTTCGTTCGTACCAATTTTTGGAAAATCCTCGGGTGTAGGACTTTCCCCCTTTAGTAGAAACCTGTTGAATTATTAAATTTGGTCTGGGAGGTCCTAATTGTTTCGTTGCCAATTTATCTTGATTTGTTCGCCGACAAAAAGGAACTTCTTTCAAAGAGACAATCGAGTTGCACTGAACGCTAGCCATCTTGACAGTAGTACGTGAATTGATTGACGCTGCTACCCGCTCTTTTCTTAGTTACGTTCATGGTTATGTTACGTATGACAAAAGCGCGTAAGTGCAAGCCCTCAGAAACCCATAGAGATTGTATTGAAAGCTCTGATATTTGAAAAAAAAAGATTTTACATGAGAGTCTATGAGAGACTTCTGGGGCGATTTTCAACCTGACTGAAATCGCCCCAAAAGGGGCGGGGCCATTTGAAGCACGACTTTAGCCTGATTGGACATTTAGTGGCAGATCAGACGTCTAGATTAGAACACTGATAACTACTGTTGCCGTGATATAATTGATTAGAAAAAAAATCCCTTCCTTTTCCCGTTTGGCAGTGCGTCGCCCATATCGCCCTAATGAACACACCGCCCCTGGTCATTACACACAACATAATACATACAGTACATTCCACATTACCTGTCCTCTCCTCAGGTGAGATAGACGTACCTGTAGGATTGTCTCAGCTGTTCTCTCCTGTTCTCAGGTGAGACCTACAGTATGTGTTTCCCGTTTTACCTACATCACCTGTCCTCTCCTCAGGTGAGATTGACCTTGAGATGTTCTCTCAGCTGCATCTGAAGCATCCTGCAGTAACCGTGGACAACCAGGTGGTGGAACCCAGCGCCCAGCAGCTCCACCTCTATAAGGGTATATAGTTCAGTATGATTACACCTCTATAAGGGTATATAGTTCAGTATGATTACACCTCTATAAGGGTATATAGTTCAGTATGATTACACCTCTATGAGGGTATATAGTTCAGTATGATTCCATCTCTATAAGGGTATATAGTTCAGTATGATTCCATCTCTATAAGGGTATATAGTTCAGTATGATTACACCTCTATAAGGGTATATAGTTCAGTATGATTACATCTCTATAAGGGTATATAGTTCAGTATGATTACACCTCTATAAGGGTATATAGTTCAGTATGATTACGCCTCTATAAGGGTATATAGTTCAGTATGATTCCATCTCTATAAGGGTAAATAGTTCAGTATGATTACACCTCTATAAGGGTATATAGTTCAGTATGATTCCATCTCTATGAGGGTAAATAGTTCAGTATGATTACACCTCTATAAGGGTATATAGTTCAGTATGATTCCATCTCTATGAGGGTAAATAGTTCAGTATGATTACACCTCTATAAGGGTAAATAGTTCAGTATGATTACACGTCTATAAGGGTAAATAGTTCAGTATGATTCCATCTCTATAAGGGTAAATAGTTCAGTATATAGTTCAGTGTAATTATATGAATGTACTGTATATATTCTATACATATAGTTTGTATCTTAGGATAACTTATTTTGTTGAATTACTTCATATATCTTTATCTTGTGTAGTGTTGGTGTCCCAGAAACCAAACCTAGACTATATTAAATTCACTTGGAACAAGATGACGGCCGCTGAGTTTGAGAAGCACTGGAGAGAGAACCATTTGTCCAAGAAGATGGACTTCATTCACATGATACAGGTAGAACTACCCACATTTTCCTATTTTGTTGCATTACAACCTCTAATTTAAATGGATTTTTATTTGGATTTCGTGTAATGGACATACACAAAATAGTCCAAATTGGTGAAGTAAAATGAAAAAAATAACTTGTTTCAAAAAATTCGTAAAAATAGATAATGGAAAAGTGGTGCGTGCATATGTATTCACCCCCTTTGCTATGAAGCCCCTAAATAAGATCTGGTGCAACCAATTACCTTCAGAAGTCACATAATTAGTTAGATTGCACACAGGTGGACTTTATTTAAGTGTCACATGATCTCAGTGTATATATACACCTGTTCTGAAAGGCTCCAGAGTCTGCAACACCACTAAGCAAGGGGCACCACCAAGCAAGCGGCACCATGAAGACCAAGGAGCTCTCCAAACAGGTCAGGGACAAAGTTGTGGAAAAGTAGAGATCAGGGTTGGGTTATAAAATAATATCCGAAACTTTGAACATCCCACGGAGCACCATTAAATCCATTATTAAAAAATGGAAACAATATGGCACCACAACAAACATGCCAAGAGAGGGCCGCCCATCAAAACTCACGGACCAGGCAAGGAGGGCATTAATCAGAGAGGCAACAAAGAGACCAAAGATAACCCTGAAGGAGCTGCAAAGCTCCACAGCGGAGATTGGAGTATCTGTCCATAGGACCACTTTAAGCCGTACACTCCACAGAGCTGGGCTTTACGGAAGAGTGGCCAGAAAAAAGCCATTGCTTAAAGAAAAAAATAAGCAAACACGTTTGGTGTTCGCCAAAAGGCATATGGGAGACTCTCCAAACATATGGAAGAAGGTACTCTTGTCAGATGAGACTAAAATTGAGCTTTTTGGCCATCAAGGAAAACGCTATGTCTGGCGCAAACCCAACATCTCTCATCACCCCGAGAACACCATCCCCACAGTGAAGCATGGTGGTGGCAGCATCATGCTGTGGGGATGTTTTGCATCGGCAGGGACTGGGAAACTGGTCAGAATTGAAGGAATGATGGATGGCGCTAAATACAGGGAAATTCTTGAGGGAAACCTGTTTTAGTCTTCCGAGGACGGAGGTTCACCTTCCAGCAGGACAATGACCCTAAGCATTCTGCTAAAGCAACACTCGAGTGGTTTAAGGGGAAACATTGAAATGCCTTGGAATGGCCTAGTCAAAGCACAGACCTCAATCCAATTGAGAATCTGTGGTATGGCTTAAAGATTGCTGTACACCAGCGGAACCCATCCAACTTGAAGGAGCTGGAGCAGTTTTGCCTTGAAGAATGGGCAAAAATCCCAGTGGCTAGATGTGCCAAGCTTATAGAGACACCCCAAAAGACTTGCAGCTGTAATTGCTGAAAAAGGTGGTTTGTTTCACAATTAATATTTTGCATCTTCAAAGTGGTAGGCATGTTGTGTAAATCAAATGACACAAACCCACAAAAAAATCAATTTTAAATCCAGGTTGTAAGGCAACAAAATAGGAAAAATGCCAAGGGGGGTGAATACTTTCGCAAGCCACTGTATGTTTTACATTTTACATTTTACATTTTAGTCATTTAGCAGACGCTCTTATCCAGAGCGACTTACAGGAGCAATTAGGGTTAAGTGCCTTGCTCAAGGGCACATCGACAGATTTTTCACCTAGTCGGCTCGGGGATTAGAACCAGCGACCTTTCGGTTACTGGCACAACGCTCTTAACCACTAAGCTACCTGCGTATGTGTCATACATAGCTACACTGAACAAAAATATAAATGCAACATGTAAAATCTCCCATATGCACAAAAAGCTTATTGCTCTCAAATTTTGTGAACACATTTTTTTTACCTACCTGTTAGTGAGCATTTCTCCTTTGCAAAGATAATCCATCCACCTGACAGGTGTGGCATATCAAGAAGCTGATTAAACAGCATGATCATTATCAGTGGCGATTTTAGCATGTAAATCTTGGTGGGGCAAACTCCCACCAAAATCTTTGATGCATGCCAGCAAAGCAAAGCCACTACACAACACAACACAACATTAAACAATACATTAATTGCACTATAACGGTGACAAATGGTGCCCACAAACTGTTAGGGCCTGTCTCAACAGCAGAGCTTTCTTTTCAGCACCATGGAGTGAATCCTTACCACTGCTACACCTGGCTATCAGTGGAGCCTTGTCTGGCAGCTAAACAGTTAATTCAGCCTCATTTACTGCCTTTAAAAAACCCCATAGCTGATATGGCTGACTTGCTTAAACAAATGTGGTTTCTACTGACAATTGAGATGTACAAACTATGGCATAAGGGGACGACAAGCGGATAAGAGGCAATCCGTAATTTCAATTAAGACATTCATGAGATGAATGTACATCGACAGAATTCAGAACATGGGCCGTTCTTACAGTGTTCTCCCTGTACACCAAGTCAGAACCGTAGGATAAATAAAGGGGGCATATAAGCAGACAATGAAAGCTCTTACAATATTCGATGATTACATTTCTCTAAAACAGGTTATAGGCTACATGTGCACCACCAAGTCAGAACAGTAGGCTAAGTTATGAGGGGGAAAGGGACCAAAATATTAGGGTGAGGCACATGGGCTACTAAAAGCTTACTACACAACATACACTTAGTATTACTTTCTTAGCTACAGTGTACATATCTCCCTGGCATATTACATTGTTTATGCAGCAGCATAGAATACATTTTTGGACTCACCTTGTTGTGCTGTGCTCACTTGAACAGGAAGGTGGTGTGGCGGTCCTTCTTGTGGGCAAATTTAGTCATCAAACTTTGTCATGAAAGTCTGGCATTCTCTGGATTTATGGTGCTTTCAAGACAACTGGGAACGCGAAAAAAAACAAGGTCAAATCATGACGTCAGTGATCTTCAGGTCGGAGCTCTAGAAAGAGGCCGACTTGGAATTCCGAGTTGGATGACCGTTCAAAACGTATTTTCCCAGTCGGAGTTCCCAGTTTGTGTTGAACTCACTGAAGTCTGAGATTTCCCAGTCAGAGTTCCCAGTTTGTGTTGAACTCACTGAAGTCTGAGATTTCCCAGTCAGAGTTCCCAGTTTGTGTTGAACTCACTGAAGTCTGAGATTTCCCAGTTCCGAGTTTCCAGTTGTTTTGAAGTCATGCTGGATTGACAGCATGGCCAATGTATTCAACATTTTCTGGCCCATGGTGTTGAATGTTTATCCTTTTAAGCTTGGAAAAGAAACCCTTAAACCCAGACTTGGACCACACACCCACTCCACTGAATAGCAGGCTAGTGATTGTTTTGCAATGCTTGCAGTTAGCCACTGATTCCTTCCAAACCACTCACTGTTGAATTTGCGATATCTAACTTGTGTTATGTTTATGTCCAATGGCCGATGAGCACCGATATGTTTTATCTATAATTTCTCTCAATATGACATGAATTGAAAAGGATTTTCCAGTAGATTGTTGACTTGATTCATGATGATGACTGCTTGTCTAGCTTGCTAGCTAATATTTTGAAAGTATGATGTTTACATGATCAGTCCAATCAAAGTTACAGTGTATATATAATGTGATTTGACATCATTTTATCTGTGGCCAATGACCTTGAGCCTTCTTGGATGGGCACTTCTAATGTAACTCTATGGCAGCACCCAAGGGGCTTGAATTTTCGAGCTCTCCCCGTAGATTTTGCGGTGGCATAGTGTCCCCATGAGTGACAGAACACTGAGCCAATCACGCCGCCACTAGAGAACATTACCAACCCCTACGCTCCGTATTTTCCGCTGGCTGCCCCACCACCACAGAAAGCAGTTTTGTCACACAACACAATGCCGAAGATGTCTCAAGTTTTGAGGGAGCGTGCAATTGGCATGCTGACTGCAGGAATATCTACCAGAGCTGTTGCCAGATAATTGAATAGAATTTGGCAGTATGTCCAACTGGCCTCACTGACCGCAGACCACGTGTAACCACGCCAGCCCAGGACCTCCACATCCGGCTTCTTCGCCTGCGGGATCGTCTGAGACCAGCCACCCGGACAGCTGATGAAACTGTTGATTTGCACAACCGAAGACTTTCTGCACAAACTGTCAGAAACTGTCTCAGGGAAGCTTATCTGCGTGCTCATCGTCCTCACCAGGGTCTTGACCTGACTACAGTTTGGCGTCGTAACCAACTTCAATGGGCAAATGCTCACCTTCGATGTCCACTGGCACGCTGGAGTGTGCTCTTCACAGATTTATCCTGGTTTCAACTGAACTGGGCAGATGGCAGACAGCGTGTATGGCATTGTGTGGGTGAGCGGTTTGCTGATGTCAACGTTTTGAACAGAGTGCCCGTTGCTCGGCGGTGGGGTTATGGTATGGGCAGGCATAAGCTACGGACAACGAACACAATTGCATTTTATCAATGGCAATTTGAATGCACAGATACTGTATACCGTGATGAAATCCTGAGGCCCATTGTCGTGCCATTCATCCGCCGCCTTCACCTCATGTTTCAGCAAGATAATGCACGGCCCCATGTCACAAGGATCTGTATACAATTTCTAGAAACTGAAAATGTCCAAGTTCTCCCATGACCTGCATACTCACCAGACATCGACGTGTACGACAGCATGTTCCAGTTCCCGCCAATATCCAGCAACTTTGCACAGCCATTGAAGAGGAGTGGGACAACATTCCACAGGCCACAATCAACAGCCTGATAAACTCTATGCGAAGATGTGTCACGCTGCATGAGGCAAATGGTGGTCACACCAGATATTGACTCGTTTTCTGATCGCCCCTACCTTTTTTTTTAGGGTTACCAACAGATGCATACAGTGGGGGAAAAAAAGTATTTAGTCAGCCACCAATTGTGCAAGTTCTCCCACTTAAAAAGATGAGAGAGGCCTGTAATTTTCATCATAGGTTCACGTCAACTATGACAGACAAATTGAGAAAAAAAAATCCAGAAAATCACATTGTAGGATTTTTAATGAATTTATTTGCAAACTATGGTGGAAAATAAGTATTTGGTCACCTACAAACAAGCAAGATTTCTGGCTCTCACAGACCTGTAACTTCTTCTTTAAGAGGCTCCTCTGTCCTCCACTCGTTACCTGTATTAATGGCACCTGTTTGAACTTGTTATCAGTATAAAAGACACCTGTCCACAACCTCAAACAGTCACACTCCAAACTCCACTATGGCCAAGACCAAAGAGCTGTCAAAGGACACCAGAAACAAAATTGTAGACCTGCACCAGGCTGGGAAGACTGAATCTGCAATAGGTAAGCAGCTTGGTTTGAAGAAATCAACTGTGGGAGCAATTATTAGCAAATGGAAGACATACAAGACCACTGATAATCTCCCTCGATCTGGGGCTCCACGCAAGATCTCACCCCGTGGGGTCAAAATGATCACAAGAACGGTGAGGAAAAATCCCAGAACCACACGGGGGGACCTAGTGAATGACCTGCAGAGAGCTGGGACCAAAGTAACAAAGCCTACCATCAGTAACACACTACGCCGCCAGGGACTCAAATCCTGCAGTGCCAGACGTGTCCCCCTGCTTAAGCCAGTACATGTCCAGGACCGTCTGAAGTTTGCTAGAGTGCATTTGGATGATCCAGAAGAGGATTGGGAGAATGGCATATGGTCAGATGAAACCAAAATATAACGTTTTGGTAAAAACTCAACTCGTCGTGTTTGGACGACAAAGAATGCTGAGTTGCATCCAAAGAACACCATACCTACTGTGAAGCATGGGGGTGGAAACATCATGCTTTGGGGCTGTTTTTCTGCAAAGGGACCAGGACAACTGATCCGTGTAAAGGAAAGAATGAATGGGGCCATGTATCGTGAGATTTTGAGTGAAAACCTCCTTCCATCAGCAAGGGCATTGAAGATGAAACGTGGCTGGGTCTTTCAGCATGACAATGATCCCAAACACACCGTCCGGGCAACGAAGGAGTGGCTTCGTAAGAAGCATTTCAAGGTCCTGGAGTGGCCTAGCCAGTCTCCAGATCTCAACCCCATAGAAAATCTTTGGAGGGAGTTGAAAGTCCGTGTTGCCCAGCGACAGCCCCAAAACATCACTGCTCTAGAGGAGATCTGCATGGAGGAATGGGCCAAAATACCAGCAACAGTGTGTGAAAACCTTGTGAAGACTTACAGAAAACGTTTGACCTGTGTCATTGCCAACAAAGGGTATATAACAAAGTATTGAGAAACTTTTGTTATTGACCAAATACTTATTTTCCACCATAATTTGCAAATAAATTCATTAAAAATCCTACAATGTGATTTTCTGGATTTTTTTTCTCATTTTGTCTGTCATAGTTGACGTGTACCTATGATGAAAATTACAGGCCTCTCTCATCTTTTTAAGTGGGAGAACTTGCACAATTGGTGGCTGACTAAATACTTTTTTCCCCACTGTATCTGTATTCCCAGTCATGTGAAATACATAGATTAGATTAGGGCCTAATTTATTTATTTCAATTGACTAATTTCCTTATATGAACTGTAACTCAGTAAAATCTTTGAAATTGTTGCGTTTTATATTTTTGTTCAGTGTATTTATTTGATTATATTAACCTGATAGTTCCCCTGTATTCCATCCAGATGTTGTACTACGTGAAGGACCCAGGTGCTACAGTCACATTCTACCAGAGCCTCCTGGACAGGAATGGAAAACTACTCATCATTCTGGTGTCTGGTGAGTCAGTTGAGTTGATGTATATCTACAAGCATTGGTTATGTTATCAGACTCCATGCCAGACCTCTGTTATACTGTTATACTTTACCATATAATTACATATTACAACTAATTAATCATGAGTTACTATTAGAACTAAGTAATTTAATAGCATATCTGTGGTGGTTACACTGTGTGTTCTGTTACTATGGGTGGTTACACTGTGTGTTCTGTTACTATGGGTGGTTACACTGTGTGTTCTGTTTCTATGGGTGGTTACACTGTGTGTAATGTCTGTAGGTGAGAGTGGCTGGGGGAAGCTGTGGAGAACCTTCAGGACTCAGCTGTGCAACACAGAGATCAGTCAGTGTGTGACTACAGGTGATATTAAAGCCTACCTGGAGTCTAAGACAGTGAGTTACCAGAGCTACAAGCTGCCATCTCAAATGGACATCACAGAGTGTTTCACTGAGGGGGACCAGAGAGGAGAACTGCTCCTGGACTTCCTGACTGAGGTGTTAAACTTCAGCTCCACAGCTCCTCCTGAGCTGAAGAGAGGAGTTCTAGACCTGCTGAAGACCCCAGACTGCAGCAAGGAGGTGGATGGGAGGGTCATCTTTAATAACACCCTGGAGGTGCTGGTGGTCGACCCTCTACAGTAACATAGGAATAGATCTCAAAATGCTGTAGCAACAATGTGTATCACTGATAAACACTGAGTATACAAAATATTAGGAACACTTTCTCTTTCCATGACATAGACTGACCAGGTGAATCCAGGTGAAAGCTATGATCCCTCATTGATGTTACTTGTTAAATCCATTTCAATCAGTGTAGATGAAGGGGGGAGACAGGTTAAAGAAGGATGTTTAAGCCTTGAGACAATTGAGACAATTGAGACATGGATTTTATACACTGCTCAAAAATATAAAGGGAACACTTAAACAACACAATGTAACTCCAAGTCAATCACACTTCTGTGAAATCAAACTGTCCACTTAGGAAGCAACACTGATTGACAATAAATTTCACATGCTGTTGTGCAAATGGAATAGACAACAGGTGGAAATTATAGGCAAGACACCCCCAATAAAGGACTGGTTTTGCAGGTGGTGACCACAGACCACTTCTCAGTTCCTATGCTTCCTGGCTGATGTTTTGGTCACTTTTGAATGCTGGCGGTGCTTTCACTCTAGTGGTAGCATGAGACGGAGTCTACAACCCACACAAGTGGCTCAGGTACTGCAGCTCATCCAGGATGGCACATCAATGCGAGCTGTGGCAAGAAGGTTTGCTGTGTCTGTCAGCGTAGTGTCCAGAGCATGGCGCTACCAGGAGACAGGCCAGTACATCAGGAGACGTGGAGGAGGCCGTAGGAGGGCGACAACCCAGCAGCAGGACTACTACCTCCGCCTTTGTGCAAAGAGGAGCAGGAGGAGCACTGCCAGAGCCCTGCAAAATGACCTCCAGCAGGCCACAAATGTGCATGTGTCTGCTCAAACGGTCAGAAACAGACTCCATGAGGGTGGTATGAGGGCCCGACGTCCACAGGTGGGGGTTGTGCTTACAGCCCAACACCGTGCAGGACGTTTGGCATTTGCCAGAGAACACCAAGATTGGCAAATTCGCCACTGGTGCCCTGTGCTCTTCACAGATGAAAGCAGGTTCACACTGAGCACGTGACAGACGTGACAGAGTCTAGAGACGCTGTGGAGAACGTTCTGCTGCCTACAACATCCTCCAGCATGACCGGTTTGGCGGTGGGTCAGTCATGGTGTGGGGTGGCATTTCTTTGGGGGGGCCGCACAGCCCTCCATGTGCTCGCCAGAGGTAGCCTGACTGCCATTAGGTACCGAGATGAGATCCTCAGACCCCTTGTGAGACCATATGCTGGTGCGGTTGGCCCTGGGTTCCTCCTATACAAGACAATGCTAGACCTCATGTGGCTGGAGTTTGTCAGCAGTTCCTGCAAGAGGAAGGCATTGATGCTATGGACTGGCCCGCCCGTTCCACAGACCTGAATCCAATTGAGCACATCTGGGACATCATGTCTCGCTCCATCCACCAACGCCACGTTGCACCACAGACTGTCCAGGAGTTGGCGGATGCTTTAGTCCAGGTCTGGGAGGAGATCCCTCAGGAGACCATCCGCCACCTCATCAGGAGCATGCCCAGGCATTGTAGGGAGGTCATACAGGCACGTGGAGGCCACACACACTACTGAGCCTCATTTTGACTTGTTTTAAGGACATTACATCAAAGTTGGATCAGCCTGTAGTGTGGTTTTCCACTTAAATTTTGAGGGTGACTCCAAATCCAGACCTCCATGGGTTGATAAATTTGATTTCCATTGATCATTTTTGTGTGATTTTGTTGTCAGCACATTCAACTATGTAAAGAAAAAAGTATTTAATAAGATTATATCATTCATTCAGATCTAGGATGTGTTATTTTAGTGTTCCCTTTTATTTTTTTGAGCAGTGTATGTGTGCCATTCAGAGGGTGAATGGGCAAGATGAAAGATGTAAGTGCTTTTGAACGGGGTATGGTTGTAGGTACCGGTTTGTGTAAAGAACTGCAATGCTGCTGGGTTTTTCACGCTCAACAGTTTCCTGTTTGTATCAAGAATGGTCCACCACCAAAAGGACATCCAGCCAACTGTGGGAAGCATTGGAGTCAACATGGGCCAGCATCCCTGTGGAACTCTTTCGACACCTTGTAGAGTCCATGCCCCGATGAATTGAGGCTCTTCTGTGGGGGTGCAACTAAATATTAGGAAGGTGTTCCTAATGTTTGGTATACTCAGTGTATACATGAAAGGCTTGTTGTGGTATTCATAGAATTACCTGATACTCGTCTGTCCATCAAGATCCCACACCTGGAACTTCAGGTTCTTGTAAGTCACTGTCTCAATGTTGAAGCCGATCGCTGTACAACACAATGACAGAGATGAAACACCTTAAACACACGTTAAAGAAAGGAATGCAGCTGGACCATCCCATTCATGACATTGTCTACAAACATGTGGAAAGACCATTTATTATTGGGAGGGGGGGGGTGCAGCTTAATAGTAGGAACATTTTCCTAATGTTTGGTATACTCAGTGTATAAAGTCAGTATTTCATCAATCACAAATAATGTTTGTCATGAGAAAACAACTTGTTTTACCTCACTTACTTTAACAACACATCAGAACCTAAGACATGATACACAGTTGCATTCAAGGGCGCTGCTTTGGTTTTAGAAGTGGGAGTGTCTTTTCATGGCGTGGGGGTCCTCCCCCAGAGTTTTTTTTGGGCATCTAAAGCTAATTTCCTGCATTTCTGCACAATCCGATATGACCCAAGGCCCTTCTAGCCATCTCTATTTAGAACAACAGTCATCAAGCTAGATAAGAGAGCATTATTAAATATGTTTAAGTGATTGATAAGACTGAACTAGATCAAAGGTAATTTAATAATCAATATTGTGTTTAACCAATAGCCTAACAAATGAACAAACACTTTTGATTATCTTTATTAAGACATCCTCTATATCAAATTTCAGGCAGACCGACCAGCCGCATGCACGCCCGACCCCTACCAGTCTAATCAAAAACTCAACTCTCTCCCTGACCCCCACCAGTCTAGTCAATAATTCAACTCTCTCCCAACACAATGCCAAGAGTGTGCAAAGCTGTCATCAAGGCAAAGGGTGGCTACTTTGAAGAATCTCAAATATAAAATATGTTTTGATTTGTTTAACACTTTTTTGGTTACTACATGATTCCATATGTGTTATTTAATAGTTTTGTTGTCTTCACTATTATTCTGCAATGTAGAAAATAGTAAAAAATAAAGAAAAACCCTGGAACGAGTAGTTGTGTCCAAACTTTGGACTGGTACTGTACTTCTCCCCATCTTAGCTACTGTTGTATCAATATGTTTTCACCATGACAGTTTACAATCCAGGGTTACTCCAAGCAGTTTAGTCACCTCAACTTGCTCAATTTCCACATTATTTATTACAAGACTTAGTTGAGGTTTAGGGTTTGGTGAATGATTTTGTTCCAAATACAATGCTTTTAGTTTTAGAAATATTTAGGACTAACTTATTCCTTGCCACCCACTCTGAAACTAACTGCAGCTCTTTGTTAAGTGTTGCAGTCATCTCAGTCGCTGTAGTAGGGACATGTATAGAGTTGAGTCATCCGCATACATAGACACACTGGCTTTACTCAAAGCCAGTGGCATGTCATTAGCAAAGATTGAAAAAAGTAATGGGCATTGACAGCTGCCCTGGGGAATTCCTGATTCCACCTGGATTTTGTTGGAGAGGCTTCCATTAAAGAACAGCCCCCACAATCTTTTTATCATCAATTCTCTAAGCCAATCATCAGTCATTTGTGTAAGTGCTGTGCTTGTTGACTATCCTTTCCTATAAGCATGCTGAAAGTTTGTTGTCAATTTGGTTACTGTAAAATAGCATTGTATCTGGTCAAACACAAAAGGGTTGGTAACAGGCTGATTGGTCGGCTATTTGAGCCAGTAAATGGGGCTTTACTATTCTTAGGTAGCGGAATGACTTTTGCTTCCCTCCAAGCCTGGGGACACACACATTCTAGAAGGCTTAAATTGAAAATATGGCAAATAGGAGTGGCAATATCGTCCGCTATTATCCTCAGTAATTTTCCATCCAAGTTGTCAGACCCCGGTGGCTTGTCATTGTTGATAGACAACAATAATTTGTTCACCTCTTCCACACTCACTTTACGGAATTCAAAATGACAATGCTTGTCTTTCATAATTTGGTAGTTATTATTAATTAAAGTAGTTAGCAATATCAGTTGGTTTTGTGATGAATGAGTCTTCTGATTCAATGAATGATGGAGCTGAGTTTGTCTTTCTTCCCAAAATTTCCTTTAAGGTGCTCCAAAGCTTTTTACTATCATTCTTTATGTCATTTATCTTTGTTTCATAGTATAGTTTCTTCTTCTTTTTATTCAATTTAGTCACATGATTTCTCAATTTGCAATATGTTTGCCAATCGGTTGTGCAGTCAGACCTATTTGCCATTCCTTTTGCCTCATCCCTCTCAACCATACAACTTTTCAATTCCTCATCAATCCACGGGATTCTAAAAGTTTTTAGTCATTTTCTTAATGGGTGCATGCTTATTAGTAACTGGAATAAACAATTTCATAAATGTGTCAAGTGCAGTGTCTGTTTGCTCCTCATTACACACCACAGACCAACAAATATTATTTACATCAACAACATAGGAATCACTACAAAACTTATTGTATGACCTCTTATACACAATATTAGGCCCAGCCTTTGGAACTTTGGTTTTCCTAGATATGGCTACTATATTGTGATCACTACATCCGATGGATTTGGATACTGCCTTCAAACAAATCTCTGCAGCATTAGTAAAGATATGATCAATACATGTTGATGATTTCATTGCTGTACTGTTTGTAACTACCTTGGTAGGTTGACTGATAACCTGAACCAGGTTGCAGGCACTGGTTACAGTTTGAAGCTTTTTCTTGAGTGGGCAGCCTGATGAAAGCCAGTCAATATTTAAATCACCCAGAAAGTATACCTGTCTATTGACATCACATATACTACCGTTCAAAAGTTTGGGGTCACTTAGACATTTCCTGGTTTTTGAAAGAAATGCATTTTTTTTGTCCATTAAAATAACATCAAATTGATCAGAAATACAGTGTAGACATTGTTAATGTTGTAAATGGCTATTGTAGCTGGAAACGGCTGATTTGTA